CCCCACCACCCACCCAAGTTTGAGAACTACTGCTTTAAGGAATGCATATCACCTGATACCTTTCATGACAGAGTTTTAGACTAAAATTATCTGACAATGATTGATGATGACTATTATCTTTAAAACCTTGGAAATAACTATTTTCAGTGCATGGTGGTATCTTGGTGGTCTTACAGGATCTTTTAGTGCTCAAAGGATGACTCTGCTTCAGATTTCTTTAACTTTTCTCAGTTTCTTAACTGACGGTTGAAACATTTAAGAAATTTAAACACAAGTTCATAAAAAACACGTCACCTAAAAATATTGAACAAATATTTAAACGTAGACTCAGCAGCCATATATACATACAGTATAAGGGCTGCAACAATACATGTAACCGTATCGAACCGTTCAATACAGAGCTTTAGGTTCAATATACACTTGTGTCGAACAATACCGATTTTTAAATTTTATTTTATCATATTTGTCTTCTGAAGACGCTCCGTGTTGAAGGATCAGTTTATCTGTGTTCGACTACTCCACCTAGGCTGCATTTTTGAGCACAGATCCACTGAGAAACTTGCTGTTTCAGCAACATTAAATTAAAAAACTGTACTTTTGAGGTTAAACAAATATTCATACTTAATTTAAATAGATTACAAGATAAAAAGAGCATGGAAATTTCTCTTTTTTTGGATTGAAAAAATATCGAACCGTGAGACTAAAGTGTCGAACCCAATCGTGGATTTTCTGTATTGTTGTACTCCTAATACATATGTATGTTTTTGCTTCTCTGATGCTCCCTTTATTTCTGAAAGRTCATGTCTGAGCAGGACGTGGCTGAGTTTATGAGCAGTCATGCTGCGTKCACACCAAACGCGTTTTGAGCGTCAGGTTTTACACGCACAGTCTGTGGTGGACGCGCGTCGAGCAGCGTCAGGAAGTGATGCGGCGCGTCTAGAGCATCGCGTTTTTGAGCATTGAAGGCTGAAGTTGGAAAATCTGAACTTTTTGCAGCTCGACGTGGCGCGTCCACCAATCAGAGAGACTGCACTGTGTGAGGTAGTGACACATTTTCTGACGGGATGGTTTCCTGAATGATGTCTACTAACCTGAGACAGACGAAAGTGTCTGTAGTCGATGTCCTGGCAGGAGATGTGGGCACTGATGCCTTGGTGAATTATCTGCTGAGCGCGATGTGCTCCTGCTCTCAGTAAATAAAGCAAAGTCACTTTCTTTACTTCATCCGCCATTAAACAGATCGACAGATCTGACCTCAAAGTCCACAAGTTAGTTGTTTTTTTTTTTTTGACGCTCAAATCGTTGTGTGTGGACGCAGCCCCAGAGGTAGTCAGGGTGTCTGTTTTGTGGAAGATGATTCAGTTCTGGACCGATAACTGTCTTTGTCTCATGTGTTTCTAGTGTTGCTGTTTCATGGCTGCCTTCCTTAGACACGGGTTCCTCCTGGCCCTGCATCGAAGCACCGTCTCAGTCCACCGTCCAGCACTGCTTGCAGCTTTTCTAGGTAGACTATTGTCCTAGTTTGTAGTGGTAATGTGTCTGCCTTACAAACTAGAATCGTACTAAAACAGTTTAACTAAAAACATYGCTAGTTTTGTTCGTTTTTACCTGTTTTGCTGGTGCTGAGAGTCGGATTGACATTTATCAAAGAAAGAGTTAATATTCTACACTCTCTATAGCAAAATCCTCCTTCAGTTTTATTATAATGTAAGAAAATACGTGTTCAAAGACTAAAGTCAATACGAAAACCACCACTGTTAAATAAACTGATTTGTAGAAGGAATAAAACCATACAAAACCAGAATTCTGGAGTGGGGTTTCCTGTCACTGGAGTTGACAGGAAACCACACTGCCTCCAAACCAGGAAGTTGATCCATTTATACATGTTCTTCAATGCCTGCGTTCGCCCCCTACTGACCTACGTCTGAATCACAGGCATTCAGACAAAAGTCTCATCTACTGTTATAACGGTTGATTATGTGTTGTTATATTATTCGGACATGTAACTATCAATCAAAACATAATAGATTAAACATTGTCAACATTATAAACAGAAAAACCTAAAAAAAATAGTGTTGTGTTTTTAACATCAGTACTAACCTGTAATAACTATAAATTTCTTCAATAAATTAGACAAATGTATGATAAAATGAGAAATTTCATGGATCACAAGCTGTTTTTCACAACTTAGTAATTAGAATCATTTAGACCAGGTTTGACAAGTGAAAGTATTTGAGATTTTGAACCAGAGCCAATCTAAGGCGACACAAATTCTAAAGAGTCTGTGAAATAGCCCTTTAAGTATCTGCTGGAAATCAGAAGTGAACTTCAGGACTTCCTGTGGGACTGTTTGTTTCTAGTTGTCTCTTGTGAGACAATGGGCCTCACGCAAGAACCGTTCGTACGCACAGTTTGTACGGTGCGCGAACTGCTCTTCTGAATGAGTGAAAACTGTGTAACACAGTTGTTTAGACTGAAATTATAAAAGTTTGACCAAAGAAAAACCAGAGCAGGACTACAGAGAGAGATAAATATGATTTAGATTTTTATTTCTGTGACTGTATGATCCACGGGACGTCATTAACAGCAGTCGTCATTTCATTCCTCGGCTTTAAAGCAGATCCTTTAATTCCACAGCTGACGCTGCTAAAAATGGAGAAAAAATAATTGTGGATCTCCGAGAGCAGGACTTCAATCTCCGAACTAGTAAAGTTTTTCTTTTTTACTTTGCAATATCACTTATGAATGGATACTTCCTGGTATGTGGGGCAGGAAACGTATAGCCTTAAATGGTGTTTTTGGGGTGGTAATTATGTAAATCACCTCTCCCCATGCACGAGCAGCTGATACGCATTCATCAGTTTACACAGCTCATTTACGCACTTTTCCTGAAGATAGAAGAGTTTGTTGAATCTGACGTGACATGTTCGTACGAACCCTTCGTACGAACAAAAGTAAGAGAACTTTAGGATAAGAATACGAACATGTTCTTGCATGAGGCCCATTGTTTCAGTACAGTGATGTTTCTGCTTCCCGTCTGTTCATCATGTGTTACTGAACATAGCTTAAATCAGATTCTTCTCTTTTAACACTCATAGGATCATTTTCACTCGGTTGTTTTGCTGTTTATTATTTTGGTAGTTTTTTCTTTACTCTCCTACTTCTGCATACTTTGTGCAGTTTTAACCAGGATTTTTCAGTGTAAGGGGCCATCAAGGGGCCACAAAATTTATAGAGGGGCCAAGTATTTGTTCAACATCCTTGCACACAAATCCATAGTTTTTGTAAGGTTTATACATTTAATCAGTCACACGTGTTCAAACACTTGTAAAAGCTTGCACAGTAAATTCTCCTTGTCAATTTTACATGATTTTTTTTTACTGTACATAAATAAAATACTCTCAAACACACAACATGTAAGAAAATGTACCCATCGTTGTCAGTAAAAAATACTTTTTTCTCCAATAAAACTGACTTTCCTATTTTACTCACTGGCGCCACTAGTGGTTAGAAGTGGAACTGCAGCCACCATCGTTGTTTTGGGGCAAGGGCTGTGTCCAAAACGACAGGCCGGGTCCTCCGGAGGACCCAGACTACCCTGTCGAGGTGGGCCGGGTCCTTGGTAGACCGGGAAGACCGGAAAAAATGAGGCTGTGAATTTGGATGGTCTAGCCTCCCCTCCACCCCAGCGTACGTCATGTCACCTAGCAACCATGACGACGCTAAACAGAAGCAAAAATAGATCAAAATTAGAGAAATATCAATACATTAGCATTATTAATATTACAAAATAATAAAATTTACTTAAAGGTAACATTTGAAGAACTAATTGACCCGCTGTAGGTGCATGTTTGTTTCGCATTTTTTATGATGAAAATAATATTTAAAAACACGTTTATCCAAATGATAAAAGTATTAGAATTGCAACAGCTAAAATTATTAAATTTTTATATCCCCATATTTTTATTTAAAACATATTTTCTCTCGCTTCGTCCACCATTACTAGCTTAAAAAAATCTCCGGTCGGGCCGCAATGCATTATGGGATATGCTGGGCCGGGAAGGATCCATCAGACCTGTCCTTCAAATCGGGGAAAAGGAAGGACGTATTTGTCGGCCGCATCGGAGGAGTCTTCAGTTTGGGACGTCCTTAGTCGCGGCGCTGTGACGTATGCAGCCGACGAATTCGGCCTTCGGAGGACCCGTCCTGCCATTTTGGACACAGCCAAGGACAGATGAGTGAAAGGACAGGGGCACTTCAGGGGGCCAATCAGATTTCAGATGGGGCCAATGCCCCTGTGGCCCCGCCCCTGGTTTTAACATTCATGTAGCAAAACATTCAGAAAACTGGGAACTAAGACTTTTGGTCCCTTTAATACTTTTATAATATTTAACTTTATATAGAAATATTCTCCATATATTTTCCCATAAGCTGCCCCAGCTAAATGACCAGAGCATCACTAAAATAACTCTGTAGTAACTAAAAGTCAACAACAACACAAGCTGTGAGCTCCAACAGATCACAACGTTACATACAGGATGTACTTATTTTCAAGGTTTGACCAAAACTCTGTCAGAAATGATGGCAGCTGATATGCATTCCTTCAAAGAATAATGGTCCTTTAATTTATTCACATCATGTGAAAAAATGACCTTAGTGGTTCAGCAGAAGACAACTGGACTTCTCCTGATTCTTGAAACAGTTTCTCCTCCCATCCAGAAGGCTGCACCGCAGGTGAACATGTTTCTGTCTGATTGACTTCAAAGCATAAAGTTCTAGTGATTTTTAAATCTGACTAAAGAAAGATAACGTTCTTTAACTTGTTGTTTTCTCCTTCAACTGATTAAGTCAAGTGTTTTCCTCATTTTTCTAGATGCCTTAACATCAGCCCTGTTAGAGTYTCCACAGGTGATTCACCAGTGATTCTCAGCATCTGAACAAAACACTTCCTGGGTCTGACGTGGGATTGTTTGAGTAAACGTCAACTGAATCCTCCATTCCATCCCTCCATTTTCCGTACACGCTTCTTCCTTTTCAGGGTTGCGTGGGTCACTGGTGCCCATATCCAGCAGTCACAGTGCTGAATCCTCAGTTGCAATTTTTTTATAATTTTCATATATAATTTTGCATTTTTTATTTTATTTTTACAACAAAATACAACTCTGTAAACTTGAAGCATTGTTGTGAAGACGAGCTGAAGTGGGAGTGTCAGAAATGGTAAGAGGTTCTTAAAGAGACAGGCTAACTTCAAGGTGTTTATTATTATGTAGGGGTTCAACAAACTCTTACAAAAACTTTATTAGAAAATATAACGAGTTCTCTTATTTTCAGTAGATATCTCTTCCYTGCAAAAAATGAATGGACAAAACACAATAAGATGGTCGTACTCAGTGACTCGTTTGATCTAACTATAAATGTGATKATTTATTTACAGAATCAAAACAAATCACTAATAWACAGCTTATTGTGAGATTAATTTCCTATAAAARGTTTAACAACAAACTTTTAGGTTTAGATGTTAGTAAAGCATTTGTTTGCAGCACTTTTTCTTAAGTTTTGGTTTTAAAAATGTGGATTTTAACCAGAAAGGGCAGACGTCTCTCAGTGGTTCCAGCCAGACCTCAGGTACGCTCAGTAACAAACAGCCATTATCTTGACCGGGGATAGTTTATATACAGCTTTTCTTTTAACATAAACCACAAAAAAGAACAGACTTACAAAAACACAAAACAAAACACACACCCCCAAAATCCCTCCTATCCCTCCCCACCTATACCGGATCTACTACGTAACATAAACCCATCTTGTATTCATACATAAGTCAAAACAATGCACAGTTTGTGATAAAGAACCAATATTTGACCTTTTACACAAAATGTTACATAGTAACTTGATTGTAGTATAGAAATAAACTATGTGAGTGGAAAGTACCTCCTCATTTAAAACCACTTGTAAACCTGGACCACCCAGCCCACCATGACAACTAAAGAAGCCTTTGATGAGAGGAGAAACCCTAAGAATGAAGAGAAGTGGGTCTGTTGAACCACTCAGGACTGGTTTGTCCTGGATCACTGAGAACCTACACCAATAAATCTCCAAACCTCCAACAATCTGTTGCCTCTTAAAGTCAGAGGAAAAGGACCAATCATAAACAATGACAACCAAAGGTTTAAATAAGGTAAACAAGTCAGTTTGTTCTTGGTTACTGTAAATGGACATGTTTATTGTGAGTGGGTTCAGTTTGTTAATCTGTTTCTAAAACTCATATTTTTTTTATTTTAAGTTGTAAGATTTGTCTCCTTGTGTGTTTTTACCTGTCTCGCTGGTTCCTCAAACATTCATTGTCTTTGATCTGTTTCCTCCTTTTGAACTTGTTATTTTTTTTAACAAACAGAGGGAAACTGAGCATTTGGTCTCTGTGGTGGAATCTCATTAGCCTGTACTTAACTGATCATTTTGTCTAACACTGTTCATCGTCTGACCCTGTTCTCCCCTCTATATTCT